GATCATGACCTGAGCCGAAAGCAGAAGCTTAACCCGCTGAGCCACCCAGGCACACAGGGTCAATCTATCTTTACAGAACCATTTTATATGGACATAATAGGAATTTAAAGAAAGGGGAAAGGATGCCTCTGCTGGTTATAGGATATGAGAGGATGTTTGTCCCTGAGAAGAAGTTAGAGACTGACAGACTGGATTATAATTTTCAGGGAAGAGTTGGTCTAAAAATGTCAAAGAAAGAACAAGTATATGCCAGGCTTCTACTGAGTGGGCCATAATTATAGAGAGTGAGCAAAAGGAGTCTGACTTGCTCATAATGGAGGAGAAATGATCTGCCATGCTACTTCTTGAAATCAGAATAATCCTTAGGAGGCTGTGAAAGGAGAATGGAAAATACTAATGCTAGGCAGAACTCTGGGTTCTGGCTGAACCCTGGCAACCCTGGGTTGCCACAATGAAGCTGAAATCTCTCAGCGTAGTAGTGAGGACACGAAGGAAGAAGGGCCCCTGAGAAGAGGCTGCGCTGGGTTTATCTGGTCCTGACCTACCTTGGGTACAAAATTGGGGAATGACTTAAGAATATCTTTTATCCTTCCATTTCTACTGACTCAGGAGTGCATGTCCTTGAACTTCTGAGTTTGCTCTAAGCTCTGGTCTGGCCATGTGGCCATGGACAAGGATCCAGCTTATACCTTGGTTTCTCTACCTCGAAAAACCAGAAGAAAATCTTTGCTCAGAGACTTCTTTAAAAACTCACATTCTTAACCGTATGCAGTTGTATTATTAGCAGCACAGCTGATGGAAGGGACTGAAGACATGTCCATAGAGAGCCAGATCCACTTTCAAGACAGCCTAGACAGCAGGGAAGAGGTAAACAGTGTCGGAAGAGGACAAGTCGGGTGGACGGTTCCACTTTGAGCACTGCCTTTACAGATGTGCATATCCAACAGCTGCAAAGATGTCTAGGGGCTTTGTCATCCACGCAAAAGTGATGCTGAGATTGATGTGCATCTGAGTGGATGGTCTTTGCGTCCAAGTATGCAAGAGGAAGAGGGATCTGATAGGAAGGGTATTACAGCTCATACCGGTTATGTCTCATTAGATTAGAGGCTAAGGGCCCCCTCAGGTTTCCACTTTCCCCTCATGATTCATTCTCTTTGAAGAGAGGTTCTGGGTTTAAGGACCTATTTAGCAAGAGGCTTTCATTAAAGTTAAACTGTCCCTGCTCTCCTTCCCCCAGAGGATTTACTTAAAAACAAGTCCAGGAAGCCAGCTCCAGGTAACAAAGCCCAGATACAAGGGGGGGGCAGGGCCGGGGGGGGCATTTGGGGGGGGGGGGGGGTTGCATACTGTCTCCCTAGCTACCAAGGAGTAGGGCCCCACCCTGCCTTTGGGAGCCTTTTTGGCGCCAATCCTAATCAAGGTGTAAGAGGCTGGGTCAAATGTCTACTAGGGTAAATTGTAATTCAGTTGGTCACCTAGCATCACTGTGGAGTTTCCTGTGTGTGTTACAATCTCATTGGTTACCTGTGCATGACCAGGCCCGACCGCGTGGCCTTTGCCCTTAAAAGCTAGTCTGTGAAACAGGAAGGGTCCCCCTCTCTTGTAAGAGGTGCATCCCCGAACGTTGGGTCTGATTCTTGATGCCTGGCATGAAATAAAGCTTTGCTTGACCTTTGCTTTGTATCAGTCTCGCTCCTTTAATCACGGACCCATTACTGGGGCATAACAATGGGTAGCCAGCAAGATACCATGATTTGGTGGCTCAGACCCCCTGCCTGAGATGTATGATCTCAGGGGCCAAATATATCTTCACACACTCCTCTGGCCCACAGAGGATTATGGAGAGTCCACCATAGGGGGGGCTTTTCTAGATAGTCTTGATGACAGTAACAGCAAGTATTTACTATGTGCCAGCATCCTTCTAGGGCTTCACATGTGTTAATTTACTTGCTGCTCATCATACCCATGAGGTTGGGCCTAGTCTCATCTGCATTTTATATCAGGCACCGAGAGGTTAAGTATCTGCCTCAAGTTCCAAGTCAGAAGCCTGAGGCAGGATGTGAACACAGGCAGGATGGCCCCAGAGCCCATGCTCTGGCCAGTCAGGCACTGGTGACCATGACAGGGGAGATCCCTATCCTCACGGAGGAAGAGAAAACAGACAAGGCAATAAGTGATGTTATTTTCAGGACTGATAAATGCTGTAAAGAAAATCAAAGTAGGCTATGGGACAGAGTGACAAAAGGAAGGCAATTTTTAGACAGTGTGGTCAGGACAGCCCTCTGCGAGAAGGTGAAATCAGAATAAAAGTCTGCGGGAAACAGGGAATCAAGCAACAGAAAGTCTGGGGAGAAAGTACTCTAAGCAGAGGGGACCAAGCCTCCACAATGGGACCAAGCTGGGGTGTTTCAGGGACATCAGGAAGGCATCCCAAAGTGTGAAGGCGACGAGCAATGGAGAGTCTTTGAGAGCTTCTTAAGGATTTCAGATTTTATTGCCATCATGCTATGAAGGCTCTGGAGGATTCTGAGCAGGGGTATAATCTGCTCTAATTTCCCTTTTAAGAAAAGAACACTCTGGCAGTATGTGGAGAATAGATCATGCAGGCATGGGAAATCAGGGGGGCACGTCAGAAGGCTATGAGGGGGGCGCCTGGGTGGCTAGTTGTTAAGCATCTGCCTTCAGTTCAGGTCATGATCCCAGGGTCCTAGGATTGAGCCCCGCATCAGGCTCCCTGCTCAGCGGAAACCTGCTTCTCCCTCTACCTCTCCCCCTGCTTATTTCCCCTCTCCTGATGTTTCTCTGTCTCTATCAAATAAATAAATAAAATCTTTAAATAATAAAATAATAATAATAATAATAAAAGTAAGTACCACAAATTTAAAAAAAAAAAAAAAAAGAAGGCGGTGGCTATGAGAGCTTCCAGGGTGAAGAAAATAGACACTGCTTTATTTCAGGCCTTTAGGCCAAGGTCACCTCACACCAGCTTACAGCAGGGCAGCTGGAGGAGTCACTAACATCTCATAAGCTAACCACGGTAAGTGTTAGACCTGGTAAGTGTTACACCTGGATTCAGCAAGGAAGAAAGGAAGCCAGCAGAACTTCCCAGTTCTTGACCTGTAATTGGCTAACAAGTTCTCTAATGGAATAGGAATGCTTTCACTTGTCAAAACCTTTCTGAGCAGAGTTTTCAGGGCCCAAATAATCATCTGCTGCTCTCCTGGCAAAGCGCCCTGGGCCCGAAAGTAGGCAACCTGTCCCCAACTGGCAAGGAAGGTGCCCTTGCCAGGCTGTCCTGAGGAGGGCACCCTGGCTCCCACAGGTCCAGAGGTTGCAGCATTTTGAGCTGGTTTTAAATGTGGGTTCACTGGGGATGTCTGACAGTTGAGAATCTTTGTGTTCTTGGGAGGGCGGTTTTAGCATTTCAAACCGGGAGGGGGCACAGACAATTACATAACAGAAGAAATGGCCGCACAAAGTACTTACAGGCATCTTTTCCAAGCAGTTTCTACTCTGCAACTCTATGCTAAAGGATAAAGCCAGTCTGTTTGGGAGATGCTTGCCAGCGTCTACATCAGAAAGTGCCAAAGAATCGAATCTGAGTTTATGTGAAATGAGGACTCAGGCTGCTTATTTTTTCCAACTTCCAATGCTAAAACATCCCATAAAATTCAACCAGTGATGCCTGCAAAATGCCATCATCCCACAATTTTCAAAATGAAAACTCATTCACCTGCCAGTATCAAAGTATATGCAAATACGCAGATCAGTTTCTTTTTCTGACTATCCTATTATCTCTCCATGGCCTTCACTGAAGATCATTTCCTAGGTTTGTCTGAATGTGGCAAAGTTATTCTGTGGCTAGAAACTAGAGAACTCAAGGACGATTATCAGAATCTGAAAAGTCATTTTAGAAGGGATTGTTTCATTACCTTGCAAGACTTTTGAATTTGACATAAAGAGAAAACTATGGTAGTTAATATTGCTTCTTTTTTGGAGTTAAGCATGAGGAAGGGTTAGGGATGTATGTATGTGTATCTACACATATATATGTCACATAGTATGATATGATTTGCTGTCAGCCGAGCTGGTATCTCCTGATGATCCTAAACAAGCCCTTTCCAAAACTTGAGGCAGAACTGAGGGAAATGGTAAGGGATTTCCCTTCTATACTTTATAAACAACTTTACTGCAAGTAGAGATAAGAAACAGAAATAGAGCTTATGGTATGACTGTTGCTAAATCAAAGAAAAATAGTGAAAAGGATGATCTTTTCTTAGAGGACGAGAAAACCAACTAAGAGCAGACTACTCGGCCTCTGACTCTCTAATTAATTTTGCAGAAAGAGGGACATATCACACTACCCAGGAGACCATGCTGCTGCAGCTGTTCTGGTCCACTTCCAGAAGAAGAGCAAAGCAAGCAGAAATCAAGGTGATCCCTGGCACTTCTACAAGACGAAACAAAAACACCTTCCAGGGTCTGTTACGGGGTCAGTAGCTAAGCAGCTGTGCTCTACCCCATTTGCACCTGCAGATACACCTTCCAAGCGGCAACAAAATTCAGGTTCCTCACCAACAATGGTGTCTCCAAGGAAAGGGCAACAGCACCTTGAATTATGATTTTAAAAATACGAGGAAAAGTAGAACATATTTATGTTCTCTGACATATGTCAATGGATAAATGTGTAAATATATCTCACAAAGGGACATTTTTAAAAAAGTGTCATATTTAAAGGTCAGCCTTTAGTGAACGATGAGAATGCAGCCCCCAGGAAGGATGCATTCCCGAGATTCTGGAAAGCTGATATTTTCCTTTATGTTCTCCTTGAGTTCAGTAATATGATAGGTCATCTTTCTGTGTCTATATGAGTAAGAGGAACAGTTTCATGACCCCATGGTATAAATCATAAATACCAAAAGCAGTGATGGCCAATTAAGGGGGATATGTCAAAGTTTATAGCTCTTAATGAAAGACAGTACATCATCGAACCATCTTACCTGTCGACGAATTATTCCGAGGTCTCTTTTGGCTTTATTCACTAGGGCTTGAATTTCTACAGGATCCTTTACATTCTTATTTTCTCTGAAGGCATCTCTTATCCTCCTGACAGCATAAGTTCTAAATGAATTCAGGAGAAAAAAAGAAAAAGTGTCAGCAGTCTGGAGCTATGCTTTTAAATGAAATCAAAAGCCTTTCCTTATGAATTAACTGTCTGTATTCCCCTGTGGATAATCCACTTAGATCTTGGCTCTTGGGACAGGCCCATTTATTACTATTCTGGGATGACTAAGCAAACAGATTAGGGAAATAAATCCAGCACAAACAATTCACATATACAAGGCAAACTGCTACTGAATTGCTCCTCAGACCCTCAGTTCTTCAGTTATTCACACCTGAGTTCTCTCCATTAATGTGGCTAATTGAACCTTTAATGTACAGGGACAAAGCAAGAATTAAAAGAGGTGAAACGACGTGCCACATACTCATGCACCAAGATGGTGATCTATGCCTGGCTCGGGTCAGCTCCCCAATCTTCTCCCATCTTTTAGCTGTTTATTCCTCTTTTGGAATATAACACATAAGGGTCCTACTACAGTCGAGAGTGGAGATCATAGCAAAATGCTTTCCTCCATCTTTTTTTTTTTTTTAGATTTATTTATGAGAGAGAGAAAGCAAGTGAGAGAGTGAGAGCACAGGTAGGGGGAGGGTCAACAGGAGACTCTTCAAGCAGACTCCCCGAGTGGGGAGCCGGACATGGGACTCAATCCCACAGCCCATGAGATCATGTCCCGTGCTGAAACCAAAAGTCGGATGCTTAACCGACTGAGCCACCCAGGCACCCCTGCTTTCCTCCATCTCTATAATGCATACATAAGCACACACAAGCACATACAAACACCCCTCCCCACCAAATAAATTGCATGCAGCAAAGGACAACAGTTCAAGAGGACAGCTTTCAAATCAGACAAGCTCGGCTTTGTTCCAGGCTCCCACTGTTTGTGTGAACTTGGGCAAGATTCTTAACATAAGGCCACGTTTCCTCATCTGTCAAATGGGCATACTACTACCTACCTCTGAGGATTACTGGGAGGATTCAGCTTTTTTTTTTTTTTAAAGATTTTATTTATTTATTTGAGAGAGAATGAAAGTGAGGGAGATCACAGAGAAGGAGAAGTAGACTCGCTGCTGAGTGGAGAGCCTGATGTGGGGCTTGATCCCAGGACCCTGGGATCGTGACCTGAGCTGAAGGCAGTCGCTTAACCAACTAAGCCATCCAGGCGCCCGAGCAGTCAGCTTTATCACATAACCCAATCAATGAAAGCTCTTCCTAATAACTTAATGAATTAGTACTCCTTTCTCCTCACTTCAAAGAGTCAACTTCATCCTTCATCCTCAGGGTCATACTATGGTGTGTGGACAGACGGCAGAATGGTCTGGATAACTAAGAGTCCTTAACCTGATGTGCCCCCTACATAGTTATGGCTTTGTCCCATGCCCTCCGCATGTACGCAAGACTGAAGACAAGAGAAGGAGGAGGAATCCAAGTCAGTCACAGCAAACACCATTTTCTCCAGTCCTTTTATGATCTCAGATGGCTCTGCTTTTAACTTTAAACATCAGTTAAAGAATCCCTGTGAAACTGTTAATAGCATTTACATACAGAGGCAAAGAGATGAGAAAGGGGAATATACCTTCTTTGGGAGTTGGGAACGTGTTTGGGGAGATGGATATAATTTACTGGGAAAACTTCTTTTAGAGAAGACTACTTTCATTTTAGATCAACTTCCCTAAAGTAAAAAGAAATTTTAAATTAAGAATCCAAATGGCGGGTCTCCTTGTGTTTAAAAGCAAAAGTAAAATGAAATCTTGTGCCATTAAGAATCGTGACAGAGAAAGGCAGACATTTTTAGGACATAAGCCCCTGCGGAGTTGCTCATCTGAAGCCTCGGTGAGCCAATGGGAGTATTTGCAGAGATGGTCCTGGGTACTCAGGATCAACCTTGGGGCAACCATGACTGGAAATGGAATCCCTAAACTAGCAGACATTATGTAACAGGGGCTCCTTCATTATGAAGACTTGGCAAGGAGTTTTACTAGTAGACTTTATCAGATATTCTCCTGGATAGCTGCTAATCTAACAAGATTTTAGCCAGGAAAGCTAAAAGCAATTTCTAGGCTACTTTCTTGCACAGCATGATGGTTATTAACATAATACAATATCACTATCCTTCCTCATACCCACCCATTCCTCAAAACAGTTTCTTTGTCAGTGGTGATGGGAGCAGAGCAGACCCCACAATTTAATTCTAACATTCTGTTCACATGTAAGACTGGTTTTGGAACAGGAATTTACCCCAGGAGTCATCCGTTGTTTTAGTTCTTCACTCAAGATGCTGCATGGGCTTTTTGGAAAAATGAAATGGTCAACAGAATTCATTACTAAATTCATTTTTCTAGAAGCCAGTGACTAGCCACAATAGCTAGCAAAAAAAGGAATATGGCTTGGAACATGAAGTCTGAAGTTCCTCTAAAGTTGAAGGAAATCAGAAAATAACTTATGGTGCTCAATGATTTCTATCAGCTGAGCTCAAGGTCCAGCCTTTTACAGTCGGCTGTGTATTCTTTTTTTTTTTTTAAAGATTTTATTTATTTATTTGCCAGAGAGAGAGAGAGAGAGAGAGAGCGAGCACAGGCAGGCAGAGTGGCAGCAGAGGCAGAGGGAGAAGCAGGCTCCCCACTGAGCAAGGAGCCCTATGTGGGACTTGATCCCAGGACGCTGGGATCATCACCTGAGCCGAAGGCAGCAGCTTAACCAACTGAGCCACCCAGGCGTCCCTCAGCTGTGTATTCTTGTTGCCCAGATCTCCAAAGTCCACACCTAGAGGAGCAAAGTTCTAGGTGTTTGAATTAAATGTGTCTAAAGTAATCAAAAGTTGTCTTTTGATTACTGCACCTCTAACATGAATGATGTGATGATGGCTCTCTCTTCTTTTCTTGTTCCACCTCCTCCTCCATCGTCTAAAACATACAGAGTTTTTCTTCACCCAAGGAGGTCACTGCACTGGCTCAGAACCATACAAGTAATTACTACTGCAAGGACAATTTTTCAGTTGTATGAATTATTTTTTTTCTTAAATAGATTTTTAAATTGGGGGGGGAGGGGCAGAGGGAGAGGGCAATAGAATCTTAAGCAGGCTCCAAGCCCAGCACACAGCCTGTCGCGGGGCTCCATCTTACCACTCTGAAATCGTTTCCTGAGCCGAAATGAAGAGCTGGATGCTTAATGGACTGAGACACCCAGACGCCCCAGTTGTAGGGATTCTTTCAAGTGATCATAACTTTGTGAAGGTAATCACAAATCTGCCTGAATCCTCGAATTTCACAGGAGAGGGAGATCCACCAATGTTTCGGTTCTGCCCCCGCCTGGTTTTTTACCCTTCGCGTTTTTATCCTTTGCGCTTTTTCCACCAGTACAAGGGAAACCGTTTATCCTTGAACACATTCTGGCTATTGGTCTCTTGACCCTATCACTGAGCAAAGACATTCCAAAGGAAAATGTGCAGCTGCCGCATGATGCCTGCCTCAGGATGGTCCTAGGAGGAGTCAGATGCTGTTTGAAATAAGGCGTGAAAAATTAACAAATAAAAGGCAACACAACAGCCAGAGTTCCCAACTCTGAGAAAGCGACCCCATCCACAGAAACAGTAAGGCTATGCTGCTCATATAGTCCCTCTCCCTCCACCCTCCCAAAACCTTGCAGAGTTTCTTCATGCTTCTTCGTGCAGATTTCCATTTGGCTTTTCTTCTCTACCCAGCCTTTGCCCTCTGGTCCACCGTGAGACCTCCGCGTGGACACAGGCTCTACTGACTATCCTTTCACCGCTGCAAGGATCAAACTCCTGTATGGGATTCTCCCACCCATTGTAATTTCCCAGCTGCAAACTAAAACGCACACAGTAATGGAAGCTCTGTGGTGCCCGAGGCCTTGCTTTACTCCCTCCCCGCTTCCAACGCAGGCGCTAATAATCACAGTACTTGGAGGCTCATGTTAGTTGCAGCATCAAAAAGGTGCGTTTGGGAAACAAGCTGATAGAGTACTTGCATCATCCTTCGTCGCCGCCCCACCCCACAATCTCGTCTCTCTGCTTACCCATCCTATAAAAAGCATTGGGGCTTTTTCCTTCCTTTCCCAACCCCAAGTCAAGTATCTCGAAAACAAAACAATGTGACCCTTTCTTTAGCCTCTCTGGGGCCAGCTCCTTCAATGGCTTGGTAGGACATGTGTTCCATCAACTTGCTTTAACTCAAATGGGCCTTGTCTCTGAAGACAGTGCTTCCTTTATAACCCCTATGAGAAAGCTGCTTAATTTAGCCACGTCCCCAGATTCCAAGGGACTGAGAGGAGAGTGCCAGTGTGTTCTGCAACCCTACTGCTGCTTATGGATCGTGGGTTCACCATTACACATCTTTGAGGCCACGCTACTTAATGAAACCATGTTGTATGTCCCCATGACACTGTCGGCTGCTGACTTCTTGATGTCAAGTCTCAAGATTCATCAAGGTTTAGTATCCAAACAGCACTCAGTGCATATACAGGTCACTTAAAAATTTAAACTTATCAAACTTTAAAAATTATAATTTTTAATAAAAATAAGATCCTTTAAAATCAATAATTTTTATAATGAGATAGATGTCAGTGATTGCCACTTTTTACTGAGTTATCTCTGTTTGCTTTACTGATGGAGAGTTTTACAGCAAGTTGGTGTCTTGTCTCTCTCTTGATCTATTGGTTATTTTTCCTTAGGCTACTTTGTGAGTTCATCTTATTCTGCTGCCTCTTCTATGTTGTACTCTCTAGGGCTCCCTACTGGACCCCTTTTCTTTTAAATAAAATCTCCTCCATTAACTAAATCTGTGCCCAAGGTTTACTATCATATATATATGCCACTGGCTACCAAGTCTCTCTAGTCCATGCCTGTTTTCTGAGTCCCAAATCCATACAACCCAATTAATTGCCTTTTGGACTTGCTAATGCAAGACACCCACTACACCTCCTATAGCTTCTTGTACTGAACATTTTCAAACTGAAGTCACCATTCTCTTTCCTCCCTGGCCCC